TATAATTATTACCATATTATCTAGTAAATAATTATGTTCATTAAAGTTCAAAAATAAAAATAAAAAAGTTAGATTGTGACCTTCGTATTATCTCCATCTTTTTCATTAATTCATACTTTTGTTGGAAAATTCAAAATGCTTTCTTTTTCGTAAAGCAGTTCGTAAGAATATATTATTTTAAATTGTATTTTTCACGTTTTTTTTATTGATATATTCTCATTTTTTTAGTTCTATGAGATAAGATAACATATCCTCGATAATTATAATATCTTTAGATACTTTATTTTATAATATTTTTTTTGAAAAAAAAAATATATTTATCTATTTATTTTATTTATATTAAAAAAGATGAAGCATATCTTATACCTATTTTCTTGGTATAACTTTTTTTACTTTTTAAAAAGTATTTTTAGCATCAAAGTCAAACTAATTAAACTATTTTTTTTTTTTAATTTTAATGTTTTTTAAGGTAGAATGTTAGAATATTATTTAAATGGTTGAATTAAGACACGTGGTGTTTAGTCAAACAAGTTTGATTACCGATTCAAAAGTTGTGATAAGTTTGCCTGAGTCAAGAATTGACAATATTGTAGGATGACATCTATTACAAAATTAAAGGAAATGAGACTAGGTTTTTTAGACTAGAAGTAGACTGCCTAAAAATTATTTAGATCGTGGAAGTTAAAGATACTGTGTAGTGATAGGTAAGAACGTGGAAGTTAAGGATACCATGTAGTGATAGGTGAGAACATGGAAATTAAGGAAACCGTGTAGTGATAGGTGAGATCGTGGAAGTAAAAGATACTGTGTAGTGATAGGTGAGATCCAACACGGTAAGCTTAGTTTAGCAATCAACGAGAAGAAAAAATGCACCCCACGTTATACAACATCGAGGGGTTCCTAAGCTAGACCTAATCGAGAAGAGATAAGCCTTATGATAAGGTAACAATTAACCTAACGACCTAAACAAATTTATCACGTATAATGCTTACAAATTTATATTTAAAATAGTTCGAATATAATAATTTTATTGAATTTTAGGTTATATATATATATATATATATATAATTTATATCCCACAAAATATAATTAAAAAAGTAATGTTTTTCCCTTTGGTCCACAATTTTAAGTTTTTCATAAATGAGAATTATATGGAAAAGGGCATTTCAGTCATTGGGACCCTTTGCAAATGGAAGAAGATAAGCCAAGTGGGCCTGCTTGGGCCCATTTGCATTTACAGCTCTTTTTCTCTCTCAACAAATTAAAAAATAATAATAAAAATGCCAAATTTATTACTCTTTTTTGCAATAATGGTCCAATTTTAATTTTAAACCTAATCTGAAAATAATTGATGGACTGAATTACCCCTCATCCAAAATAATTGTCCTTTTGATTTTTCTACTTTTTGGGCTAAAATATGACATTTTTGTCACAATTACCGCGAGCCAAAACCCGAGCTTTATGTTTCAAACAACCATCCTTTTCATTATTTGCTCATTCCTTATAACGGTGTGGAAACCACTTACAAATTTTGAATCCTGATCTGAATCAAGGGTATAGGTCTGTAACGACCCAGATCCACCGCTAACAGATATTATCCTCTTTGTGTTTTCCCTTTCGGTAGGTCTGTAACGACCCAGATCCACCGCTAACAGATATTATCCTCTTTGTGTTTTCCCTTTCGGGCTTCCCCTCAAGGCTTTAAAACGCGTATGTTAGGGGAAGGTTTCCACACCCTTATAAATGGTGATTTGTTCTCCCCCTAACCAATGTGGGACATAACAATCCACCTCCTTCGGGGCCTTTCGGGCTTCCCCTCAAGGCTTTAAAACGCGTATGCTAGGGGAAGGTTTCCACACCCTTTATAAATGATGATTTGTTCTCCCCCTAACCAATGTGGGACATCACAATCCACCTCCTTCGGGGCCCAGCGTCCTCGCTGGCACTCTTTCCTTCCTCCAATCGATGTGGGACCACCCCCAAATCCACCCCCTTTTGAGGCCCAGCGTCCTTACTAGCACTCTGCCTCGTGTCTACCCCCCTTCGGGGAACAGTGAGAAGGCTGGCACATCGTCTGGTGTCTGGCTCTGATATCATTTGTAAGTACCCAGATCCATCACTAGCAGATATTGTTCTCTTTGGGTTTTCCCTTTCGAGCTTCCCCTCAAGGCTTTAAAACGCGTCTGCTAGGGAAAAGTTTCCACATCCTTATAAATGGTGATTTGTTCTCCTCTCCAACCAATATGGGACATTACAAGATCGTTACAATTATGTTTCAAACAAAACCTAATTTAAAAAAGTAAAATAAAATAACGTTCTTACCTTTTTAATTCCTAAACATAATCACTTTTAAGTATGATTAATTAAGTAAATGAAAAATGATTAATTCCGACCATATAAGTAATCAATGGCTATGATTAAATCAAATCTTTATTGTTATAGTTACCATATGGACCAATCATGTCTTTCATATTTTAATCCGAAAAATAAATAGGTTTAATCATATAATTTAATTTAATTTAATTTCCCACTAATGTATAATTTTAATATTATTAAAAATAGTACAAATGATTAAAGGAAATTGAAGATATTAAAGGGAATAATAAAATATAATTGGTAATGATTCGACATGAAATAATATTATATTACAAACTTTATTAAATTATTTCATTAAAAAGGGAACCATTGTAATGATTGTTAATCATTTGATAATCAATTTCCAAAAGTACTTTTAGCTGATTCCTAAATGTTTCATCACTGCTCCCACTTTCTTGGATTTTGTTCTCATAATAATTCACAACAATTTTATCCATCAAAATATTATTAGTTTTCATAATAACTCGTTTTCAAAAAACGCTATCTCCCCATTTTCTATAACCATCGATTCAAAATGGGATCAAAAGCTTGAGCATACTTTGTCGAGGTGTAGGAATCCAAATTGGCTCGACTCACTTAAGATTAGAAGTGAGTACCTCATAATCATACAGTTGCCAAAAAAAGTGTGATTGTGACAAGTGGTCGAGTAAATTAGGTTAACGAAACAAAAAAAAAATGATATAACTTTAAAATTTTCAGTTGAAGATTAAGGTTTGTTGGATGATGAAAGTCCCACATCAGCTAATTTAAGGAATGATCATGGGTCTACAAAATAGTCGAGCCTCGATTAAGGGGAGGCGTACTCCAAAAGAGTCGAGCCCAAAGCAAAACCATGAGAATTTTTTGTTCATTGAACTAAAATATCTTATTAGTATGGGTAACGTTCAAATTCGTAAGACAAAAAATTATATTTTTTTAAAACAACAAATTATTCGATAAATTCTCAAATTTTTTAAACCAATTTATTAAATTAAATAGCTACACACTTGCAATAATGAAATTTAAAGCTTTTTTTATTATTATTATTATTATTTTTAAAATCTACAATTATTTGAATTTCTTTTAAAAAATGAAACTAAATTATTTGGTATAAGGGCAGGTGGCCCAATAATTTGGGCTCTCATTTACTCTTCCATGGACTTCCCATGTGTAACCCTCCCATTAGGGTTTTGACCATTTTCTTATTTACCGAAATCGACCTTATTTATTTTCAACATTTTTGTGAGATCCGACATCGACTGGAGAGGAGAACGAAACATTCCTTATAAGGGTATGAATAGCTCTTCTTAGTAGACACATTTTAAAACCGTGAGGCTGACGACAATACGTAATGACCAAAAGTGGACAATATCTGCTAGTGTGAGTTTGGAGGCTCTTACAAATGGTATCAAAGCTAGACACGGGGCGGTATGCCAACGAGGACGCCGAGCCTCCAATGGGGGTGGATTGTGAGACTGCACATCGGTTGGAGAGGAGAATGAAGCATTTCATGAGGGTATGGAACCTTTCTCTAGCAAACGCGTTTTAAAACCATGAGGTCAGCGATACGTAATGGGCCAAAGTGAATAATATCTACTAGAAATGAGTTAAATGGCAATCAAAATTAGAGATATAATTACCATAATAATAATAATACTAATAATAATAATTAATGAAAAATGTTGACCATTCCTCTATTACTTTTTAGATTTATTTTATTATTTTCAATATTATTTTAGGGTTACTCTTTTTATTTTATTAAAACCAAAAGCTTTTAAACAATATTTTCTCTTGATTTTTTCTAAACATTCTTTTAAATTATTATTATGATAAGATTGAGTACCGTGCTAATTTTTTGTTCCAATTTTACCCTTCTATTACACTTTTTTTTTTTTTGTATATTTTTTATTTACACGTGTGAATAGTATAATTAATTTAAATTATTTATTTTAAATATATGGATAATTTTAAGAGATTGATTAAATAAAAATTATATAATTATAAGTTTCTAATAAATTAACCATTTTTTCCTCTTCCCTCTTCGTCTCAGTCGTGTAATGATATTTCTCTAAATGGAAAGCACGGAACCGAATATTTAATTGAAGGTTTGATTCTCGTGTTCACGAGTCTGTTTTTGCAAGTGATATGTCAAATGTGAGGATTTCACTAAAATTTATCTACCGTCGTTTGTGTTGGTCACAGTTCATCAAATCTGATTGGTTAATTTTTTTACTATATATATATATATATATATATTACTTTAAAATTAAAAAATTATAATTATTAATCAAAACAAATGTATGTCATAATTACGGGAGATGTATTTTTCTGTAATTTTTATATATTTAAAAAAAGGGAGAAATCATTTAAATAATTTGATTGTAAATATAAAAAATAATAATAATATATATGTTTATTCGATAAAACAATGACATTATTATTAATTGTAACATATTATAAGATGAAAAGTAAATAAAGAAGCGCGTGAAACTCAAACGCCCACCATCAAACCAAGCAGCAAGCCAGAGAAGCAGAAAATGAGAGATATGAAAGTGAGAGATGTGGGGCCCACTCAATGAGAGAGAAAAAATAAAATAAAATAAAATAAAATAAAATAATAATAAAATAATAAAGAAAAGTGGAGGCAGCACCCATGTGCCTCCTCCTGTCTCCACCAGCTGCTGCTTCTCAATGATTAGAGCCCTCTGTTCCCAAACACTCCCTTCTTCTTCAAACCCCCAAATTCAGCAAAAACTATCTTCAAATCCTTCAAATCCTTCAAATCCGCCATTGCCACACCTTCAATTTCTTCAGCCATGTCTGGTTCTGATGGCGTCTCCCACAACAATGGCGCCATAATTCCCCACTCTCAACAGAGCACCCAGACCACCACCAACAATGGCGCTCTGCCTCTCAAGAAACCCCCTGCTAAGGACCGCCACAGCAAGGTCGATGGCCGTGGCCGTCGTATTCGTATGCCCATCATTTGTGCTGCTCGTGTCTTTCAACTCACCCGCGAGTTGGGCCACAAATCCGACGGTCAGACCATTGAGTGGCTCCTCCGTCAAGCAGAGCCTTCCATTATTGCCGCCACTGGCACCGGCACTACTCCGGCTAGCTTCTCCACCATCTGCGCTTCCCTCCGTGGCACTCCTGCCGCTCTTTCCTCTTCAGCTTCTCTCGACCATAAACCCCTTTTGCCTCCTGCCCCTTTCATTCTCGGTAAGCGCGTTAGACCTGACGACGATGCAGGGCATAAAGACAACGACGGAAACGGCGGCGGCGGTGGCGGTAATGGTGGTGGGGGTGCTATTTCTGTCGGCCCTTCTGTTGGTTCTATTATGGGTTCAGCTGCTGCGGGTGGATACTGGGCGTTTCCAGCTAGGCCGGATTTCGGACAGGTATGGAGTTTCGCCGCTGCTGCAGCTCCGGAGATGGTGATTCAACCGACGGCGATTTCTCATCAGGCGTCGTTATTCGCTCAGCAGCAATCAATTGGAGAAGCCTCGGCGGCGAAAGTGGGAAATTACCTTCCAGGTCATCTGAATTTGCTTGCTTCTTTATCAGGTGGACAGGGAAGTTCCGGGCGGAGAGACAACGACCACCGTTGATTTAATAATCCCGCCGTCGTTCACGGCGGCACTGTAACAATTCTCTCTCGTGGGTGTTCGTGTTCATAGAATTATATAAACTACCCTTACCCTCTTCCTTGAATTTCTCTATCGTTTTCATTTCCCCTTCTGGTGTGGAGCTTAGAATTTTAGGGTTTTAGGGTATTGAATTCTTAGCTTAAAATGAGTTCATCTCTAGGGTTTTCTTCTTTCTTAAGATTGATTAGGGTTTTTCAGCTTAGAATCTTGAGGTTTTTCATTGCCAGAGGAACAAAAAAAAAAACAAAAAAAAAAAAAA